ATATATATATATATATATATTATGTAACATATGTATATTACACAATATATCTATATATATAGAGGGAGAGAGAGTGTGTGTGTGAGAGAGAGAGAGAGAGAGGCTATAAATACCTACTCTTCACCATAATATTGATTTGCAAAACACTATATATATATAATATATATATAATCTTATGAAAATGGGTTTCAATCATAAAGATTTGAGGTTATTTGTGGTGGTGGTTGTTGTAGTGATTATGAATATGGTAGAGAATAGTGAGGGGAAGACGATGGGGTGTGATGTGTTCCAGGGGAATTGGGTGATCGACCAATCATATCCTCCCTACAATGCATCCTCCACCTGCCCTTTCGTTGGCACAGAGTTCGACTGTCTCAACAATGGCCGCCCTGATCATCTCTATCTCAAATATCGATGGCAACCTCATTCCTGCACCTTATCAAGGTACCTCTGTGTGTGTATATATATATACATACACTTATATACAGAGAGAGACATGTTCAAATGAGAACGGTACTTGTTATAAGAGAACGGTCAAATCACATGTGATTTTACACTAACATCACGTACAAAATCACATATGGTTTACGCGACTTGAATACGCAGCCATAATGTCGCCTTCACACTCTTTTGACCGTTTTTAGTAAACAACGCTTTTCATGTTCAAGATTCTGGATCAACTAATGGTCTTTTTCTCCTTTACCAACATTCTTGGTTTACAATAAGACTCACAACTATATATATATATATATATATATATATATATATATAACCCTTTATATTTGTACAACCAATACAACTCAATCTCAACCGTCTATTTAATTTGATGAATATGTAATTTGATAGAAGTTTTGATTGTTTCCTAATATAAAGTATTGATCATAATTAATGAATCTTATTCATCTTCCATAAATATTTAAATCATAATAAATGAACTCTTATCATTTTCATAACTCATTTGAAACAAACTCTCTCTCTCTCTCTCTCTCTCTCTCTCTATATATATATATATATATATATGGTCGACTTCCGATGAGAAGAGATGGTGATAAGGGGTTTCTAAATACAAATCAAACCATTCAATTCTTAGAAATTAATCTTAACCGTTTATCTAATCTAATGAATATCAAATCCTATAACTATTTCGATTGTTTTTTTAATCTAGAATAATGATCATAATAAATGAACTCTATTATCTTACATAAATATCTCAAATGTTTTCTAATATAAATGACGATCATCGTTTTTTATATAGTTTGTATTTTAAAACACCTCTCTCTCTCTCTCTCTCTATATATATATATATATATATATAAATACGTATGTTTATTGTTTCAGATTTAACGGTCTAAGCTTCTTGGAGAAACTAAGGGGCAAGACCATAATGTTCGTGGGAGATTCGTTGAGCAAAAACCAATGGTTGTCATTATTATGTATGATTCATTCGTCTGTACCTTCTGCAAGTTATGTTGTAAAAATGAGAGGGGCCGAAGGTATCACGACTTACAATTTCACGGTACGTCATCTGATCTCGAGATCTCGTTAATTTTTTTAAAAAAAATTGTTTATTTTTTAGGAAATTGAAAACTTATTTGATGACACGGTGATTGATAGGATTATGGAGTGAAAGTGGTGTACCATCACAGCTTATATTTGGTAGATATTGTGAGAGAGAAAATTGGAAGGGTGTTGAAGTTGGATTCGATTACAAGTGGCAACCTCTGGTTGGGTGTCGATTACCTTGTCTTTAACACGTGGCACTGGTGGAGCCGTGAAGGCCTTACTCGACCGTATGTTCTTTCTTATTCTTCCCGTTTATACATACATGTATGCATGCATACATAGGGGAACAATAAAATGAGAACCACAAAAAAAAAGTTGAAAACCGTGAGAACTATTGATCATGCATTGTTTCACAATGTGCAACAATGCATGTGAAAGTAAATGTTGATTCACAATGTGAAACAAAAGATACAAAACATATTACAATGTGAAACAACATATGATTACCGGTTCTCACAGTTTTTAGTCTTTTGTGGTTCCCATTTGATTAGTCACCTACATACGTGATACATGACTGTGTGTGTGTATATATATATATATATATATGTGCAGATATTAGCTTATAAAATTGATCAATAAATATAAATTGATTTTATGGGTCTTACGAAAAACCTTTGATGCAGATTTGATTATATACAAGACGGAGAAGGGATATATAAAGACATGGACCGTGTGGTTGCATTCGGGAAGGCAATTCACACGTGGGGTCAATGGGTTGATGCCAACGTCGATCCAATTAAATCCAAGGTTTTCTTTCAAGGGATTTCACCAACACATTACAAGTAACTTTCATTTTTACCTTTTTAATACTTCAATTCTAATCATCCATTAAATCGTGTGTGTGTATATATATATATATATGTGTGTGTGTAAGGAGAGACGGGGAAGTTTACTTTGCAAACCACGTTATTTGTACAAACTGTATATAACTCATTCAACCAATCATAATTTTTTATTTTGTTCATTTTTTTGTAATTATGAGAGGTTGATATTATTTTTATTGTGGAGGGTGTTAATCATGGATATTATTATTTTCATTATATTAATTTTAGAGAAATATATGAAACAATTTTATTAAAATTTTATAAGTATTATATGAAACAATTTCATAACCATATATGAAACAATTTCATCAAAAAAAGTATTATATGAAATAATTTCATAATATTAAACAATGAAATAAACGGATGATGATGGTTTACACGACTTGTACAAATATGAGTGGTTTGCATTTGATCACTCATCTCTCTCTCTCTCTCTCTCTCTCTCTCTCTATATATATATATATATATATATGTATACACCTCAAAGTACTACAACTAGCAGCTTACAAATTAGCATAGAATCTTGAAACCGGTATAGGAGTAAGAAAATATATTGTAACTGATTGGTAATGGTCCAACAGTTACGATCAATTATTGGATTTTGGCTTATGACCACTTAAGGTCATATCAAAAGACTAGATTTTTTGTAATTCTTTTAAAAAATTAGCATTATATACATTACACATACATACATTTGTATATGCACACGAAGGTTCAGATAAGAAGTATGTGAATCAGTAGTAAACCCATTTAAAACTGATTTACAAATTCTGGCCTATGATCGAGATTTGTTATAACTGGTTACACGTTCATCTCTAGCACCAACAACATATAGTACATTCGACAGTTCCCACTATTACCATGTGCTTATATTTGCGTACAAATATATTCTCTAAATACAAACGATGTACGTCTTCCAAAGAAATCTTACCGATTGTAATACTAATGTTTTGGTGACATAACAGTGGCAATAGCTGGGGAGAACCAAAGGCACACAATTGCTTGGGACAGACTGAACCAGTTCCGGGCTCCACCTATCCTGGAGCTACGCCGGCAGCACTGACAGTTCTGAAGAATGAACTTAAATTCATCAAGAAACCGGTGACTTTGCTGGACATAACAAACCTATCGCTCCTAAGAAAAGACGGGCATCCGTCGAAATATGGGCTTGGAGGGGGAACGGGAATGGATTGCAGCCACTGGTGTCTCGCTGGAGTTCCGGATACTTGGAATGTATTGCTTTATCATTTTTTGATCGACAAACCAACCAAATTTTAATTATTTGAATTTTTTATAAAATATAAAGTCATAAATCATGTGATTTTTTGTATCGGTAATAGTCTAGACCAAATTGCTTGAGGTCAGGTCGGGCAATCACCCGAGCCTTGGTCAAGTCAGATATTAAGGGGTTGTTTATCCAAATGTTTATTAAATAAACGTTTATCAGTAAAATTCAATATCATCACTTGTATTACTGGAAAAGATTCTACTCCATCAAAAAGGCATCGTATGCAACAATTTATCCAGTAAACACTAACTGGATAAAAGTCGTCATCTTCACTTCCTGGAAAAGACTCTCGATTCTTATCATCATTCTTACTAGGTAAGATTCTCGGTCATTGTCATGTTTATCTACTAAGATGAGTGGCACGGTAAGCATTTAATTAGTGTTTGGTAAACGACTCCTAAATTCGTATAGGATATTTAATAATTATTTTAAAATAGAAATTTAGAGACCATTTTGTTTTTACAATAATTTTAAAATATTTTYTAAAATAAAAGAAATAAGAGAAAATTTACAAAATCTCCAAATTAGGAGAAATGTCTTAAAAACTCGATATTGGAAAATATAAATAATATTATTTTAATTGTTTCAACAATAAAATTAAAATTTTATTATTTTTTATAATAATTTTTTAGTGTAGTGAAATAATATAATAATTTTAATAATATAATTAATATTAAAATCTCTAAATATAAAATTCGTTGAAGTTGACTTTAGTTCTTAGATATTTTAACTTTATGTAACTTGCATGAAAAAATTAATGTATTTTAACTTGATTCTTATTTTAAGTAACGTATTTTAACATGATTTCTATTTTAAATAATGTATTTGCAAAAAGTATATTAATATTAGTATCAATTTAACTATTTAAAACTTTTTATTTGTGTACTTTTTTTAATTCAATTTTTTTATTATAATTTAAGTAATATAACGAAGTAACTTAATTTAGGTTTAATAATATATTTTTTTTATAAAAATAATAATTAAGTATTCTGTTAGAACTCAATAATTATCCTAATTATATTTTAAAATTTTTATATTTTAAAATGAGATGTTTATCTTCTATTTGATTATGTTTATCCRCAGTTAGTTACACGAATTCAAACATAGAGCTTTAATAAGTTGTACTTATGCACAATTTATTTGTAATCTTGAATTTTAAGTAATATGCATCAATAAATTATACTTCATGCATAAAAAAATGATTTTTAAGAGTTTTTATCAAATGCTTTATAATATAGTATAGATATTGCTAAATGCACCCCTACCTACTAGTCATGCATATCAATACCAAAAACAACTTTTAGTAGATAGGGTGAATTTAGCAAATAGCAATATATATGGGACAATTAGTATGTAGATTACAAGTAAATTGTCGTATTTTCATAATAGATTACAAACTCAATAAATTGTATAAAATTACAAATTAATTTTCATGTGTTGTTTCACATACCTGTGGAAAATGTAGTTTTTATACAATTTGTTTCATATAGAAAACATTATGATGTTATCATTTCGTGTGTGAGAAAAATAGTAATGAACGTTTCACATATGCAACAACACTGTATAAACGTTATATTTTTGTACGTGTTGTTTTATATAATAAAAACTTATGTATAAATCCATACTACAAATTATTAGTAAGTGCTTACTGGGTAATATTTCTTACCGGATGAACATGGTAAGGGTCAAAAATCGTACCTAGTAAGAGCAACGATAAAGATAAAGAGTCTTACTCGGTAAGTGAGGATCACAATTCTTACCCGGGTAAGCGCTTACCGGGTAAATTGTTGCATACAATATCATTTTGATATACTACAAGCTTATCCGATAAAATAAATTACAATATTGACTCCTCAAAATAAATACTTACCGGGTAAGCATTTACGTAAACGACCCCTAAATTTGTTAAAAAAAATATGGTTTTTGTACGAATTTTGACTTTTCTTTAAATTATTTTTGTAACATATATTTATTGTAAAATTTTGAAAAAAACATTATTTCTTTTTATAAAATGTTGATCAGTTGTTCTCTTTTATTGTTACTATATATTAAAGCGAAAAGTCCTAAAGAAACCAACGAGCTTCCCATTAAATGATTTAATTTTTTAATTTTTGAATAAAAAATTATTAAACTTTTTTATTTTAAATAATTAAGATCTGAAAAAAAAAAATTAATAAATAAACCATTGAATTTTCGGTAGCCGATTACATGTAACATTTTTTGGGTTAAACATATTTCTGTAACCAAATTTAAAAGTATGATGATTTATTTATTTAAAAGATGTTTAGGGATTTAATCATTTAAAATGAGAAAATTTAATGATCTTCCTTTTGAAATAATAGTTCAAGAATTTAATTATTTAAAATAAAAAAATTTAATAATTTTTCATTAAAAAAAATTAGAAACTAAACCAAGGTTGGATTTTTCTTTTAACTTTTCCCTATATTAAATGACATTGTTACCATATACTAAGTTATAGAGTAAATTACGTCTTTATCCTTGTAATTTCTTAAAAGTTGCGACTTTCATCCTTGTAGTTTGTAATTTTCATCTCCAAAACTAATTCTTACCTTTTACGTGTAACAGACGAAAATAACTACTGTAAACCACAAAAACAAGAATTGGATTCAAGTGAGACGCGTATACTTGAAACTTCACAATAAAATGTTGTGAAAGTAAAAAAAACGAATCTTTACAGCAAAAACATTGTGCAGGCTACTTTCACAGATACACTACAAAAATAAAAACAACAATAAATTATAAACCATAAAAATGAGAAATAATAATTTTAAATGTATAAAGACAAAAATAACAATTTTTAACAAACCATATGAGCGAAAAACGCAATTCACTCGTATTATAATTCTAATAGAATTTTTTTTAGCTACACAAGCTTGCAAATTGAACCGGCTTCTATCAAACATAATTATGATACATATTTTAAAAGCTAGTTAAAATTTCTGGATCCGTCTCTAAGTTCACGTGAACTTGTTAGCAACCCCAATCCCAACAAAAATAAACCAACACAACAAACCAATCGTCAAATGGTGTCACCGTTTTCTTAAGTCTGTCTCTGTTGGCTTGGGCCTGCTAAACTTGTTAGCAACCCCAATCCCAACAAAATAAACCAGCAGAACGGACCAATAATCAAATCGCATCCCCGCTTTCTTAAGTCTGTCCATGTTGACTTAGGGCCCTCTAAACTTGTTAGCAACCCCAATCCCAACAAAGTAAACCAGCACAACGAACCAATAGTCAAATGGTGTCACTGCCTTCTTAAGTCTGTCTCTGTTGGCTTGGTCCTGCTAAACTTGTTAGCAACCCCAATCCCAACAAAATAAACCAGCACAACGGACCAATAGTCAAATGGTGTCACCATTTTCTTAAAGTCTGCCTCTGTTGGCTTGGGCCCGCTAAACTTGTTAGCAAACCCCAATCCCAACAAAATAAACCGACCTAACGGACCAAAACAGTTCCTAAAAGAACAATAAATTGATTAAAACTATTAACATACAAAAATGTTGAACAAATGTATATTTGTTATAGAAGGAAGGAAACAAAAATCACACCTTCTAACTACCCAGGAGACACATGCACAAAAACTCTTATGTCTCTTGTGGTTTTGTTTCATGTTGAAAATGAGTGTGTGGACTCTGTGTTTTCTTCTTTTTTATGTATCGAGTTTCGGAGGTGGAGGTGGAGGTGGAGGTGGAAATGGTGTTGATGGGGATGAAAGAAGATGCGATTTATTCAAAGGAAGGTGGCTATGGGACGAATCGGATTCGAACCCGATGTATACGGGTTCCGAATGCCCGTTTATAAACCCGGGATTGAATTGCCAGAAGAATGGTAGAGCAGATAACATGTACCTTAACTTCCGGTGGCAGCCTCACGGTTGTTCGCTTCCGAGGTCTATTTTCTGTTTTTTTAGCTTCCTGTTTCTGCATACCAGATAGATTCATCTCATTACTCCATCAGAAAAGTTGTTAATGTAACAAATTTTTTGTTATTTGTGGTCTTTCTAAAAATAATAATTACAACAAATATGTCTAAATGTCTTGATAGACTGTTTTACATGACCTAAGTGTATAAGACAAAACAATTAAGCGTCTTATATAAAAGTGTTGCAATAAGTTGACACAACGTTTTTGGGTGTCCTAACAAGTTTTTTAAGACACTTTGGAAATAAAGTGTTCTATTAGTGTTCCTTTATAGGAAGCGTTCTATAAACATATATAGGATGTTCGCTTTTACGAACACTTTACACCAAAGAAGTCCAATCAACTTATTGTAACACTTTTACTTATGCCGCGTAATTGTTTGGTACGATAAATTTAAGTCCTGTAAAGTAGTTTATTATGAATTTAGACATGTTTGACGTCCTATAAAGCTGATTTTGTTGCAGTGATAGACTCTACAGGGTAGTGCCAAAACTAAAATTTCTTTTGAAATCTATAGATTCAATGGTGAGGAGTTTCTACAGAGAAACAGAGGTAAGAAGATAATGTTTGTAGGAGACTCGTTAAGTTCGAATCAGTGGCAATCACTAGCATGCATGCTTTACAACCCTACTCGACGATCTAACCCCAGCCTCACTCATCAAGGACAACTTTCAACTATTTCCTTTCCTGTGAGTCCTCATTTCCCAACACCAAAACGAACCCGAAAAGATAAAATAAATTGAACGAAAATCAGAACCTCATAAAAGTGCCAACTTTTTGCAAACGGGTATCCAGTTTCTTGATCTAAATGTTCAGTTTCTGTGATTGAAGGAGCATGGAGTTTCGATTATGTATTTGAAAAACGGGTTCCTTGTGGACCTAGAAGTCGAGAAGAAGGGTCGGGTTTTGAAGCTGGATTCCATCAGCAAAGGCCGCATATGGGAAGAAGCAGACATTTTGATCTTTAACAGCTATCATTGGTGGATCCATGCTGGACAGCTTAAATCGTATGACTTGTAGCTAATCCTCAATAGCAGTGGTTTCTTAGGTGTGTTTGATACGCAGACATGACGGAAGAAGACAGGATGGGACGGACGAGAGTGAGGTCGGTGGATGAAAGAATAATTGAAGGTTTTAGGGTTTTAATTAGACAAGGGTAGTTTGGTGATTTACCGATCTTGTCTCATCTCTCTATTTTTGTTCCACCTATTTTGGTGGATAAAAAAATTTATTTCCGCCCTCACTCAATCCCGTCTTATCCCATCTCAGTCTAATGTCACACCAAACGTGGGACAACAAGTTTTTGTTCTGTCATGTCCGCGTACCAAACGCACCCTAAACAGCTTCGTAAAATAGTACTTTTGGTTGTAGATGGGACTACTATCAGGTTGGTGAAAAGCTATACAGAGACATGGCTCTTATGGATGCTTATAAGATCGCGTTGACTACATGGGCTAGATGGGTTGACTCCAACATCTCTAAGAAGACCAGAGTCTTTTTCCAAGGAATTTCTGCGGTTCATTATGAGTTAAGTGTTATCACTACAGGCTAAAGCAAAGTTGTTAAAGGCTCAAGGCGCACTTAGGTTCAAAGGGGTCCCGGGGCCTAGGGGTGAGGAGCAGGCCTCAGGAATGTGAGGCGCATCTTATGAAAAAGTATATATATATACACACACACAATTATACACGACTCAAATATATAGCTTGTACTCCAATGCAGCAACCGGCAGTACTTCGATAGAGGCAGAAAGGAGAAGGGTTTATAGCATGAGCCATGTGGGAGAAATTTTAAGTTCTGGGTATTTATAGAGAAAGAGGCTCGAAGTTATAAGAAATGGGTATTTAATATTAGTGTTTGACTTATTTCATATTGTTTAATAACTCTCTTTTTAAGAAGTCTAGGAGATACGAAGATGATAAATTTTATTTAATATTGGGGTTTGACTTGGTATTTAATAACTCCTTGTGAAGCGCGCCTAGGTCCACAAGGCGCCTTAGCCAAGGAGCAAGCCTTAGTGAGCCTCGTGAATATGCCTAGCCTCGACTTTAAAAAATCCAAGACCTTGAGCCTTATGAGCCTCAGAGCACGCTTTTAACAACCATGGGCTAAAGTCTTATGCTTTTGTTCTAACTGGGATTTTTCTTTGTGCTAATAGAGGCAAAGATTGGGGGGAACCAAGTGTGAGGAATTGTGATGGACAAACTGAACCTATACTGGGATTCAGTTATCCGGGGAAGAAATACGCAGCAGAACAAGTGGTGAAAGACGTATTGGCAAAAATGAAAAATCCGGCTTATTTGCTAGATATAACACTACTTACCCAGTTGAGAAAAGATGGGCACCCATCCAAGTACGCTGGTGGAATGACGGACTGCAGCCATTGGTGCCTTGCTGGTGTTCCTGATACTTGGAATCAAATCTTGTACACGATTTTGCTCAAGGATTAGTTTTTTCAGCTTCAGGTATCAAAAATAGCAAATAAATGGCAGATGATGACGATTGTATGTTAATTCTTAAACTTTAGATCATAGAATGCACAAAACTTCTCCATTATATTCATTCGTACGCTTGTAAATTGGACCAGAAATAATAGAGCAATATGCTCTAGTGCTCTTGAGAATCTTCCTGCATTTGATTTTAAAAGAGTAAATCAGATGATGGAAATGAAACCAATCTTGATAATATATTTATCGCTAAATTTAAGAAGGAATTAGATTGTAAATCGAAGGAACTCAACAGTCAACATTGATCATGAAGTAGTCCCTAAGTTTGAATTTTTTTTATTAACCTGGATATCCAACCCGCTATGCGAGCCGACTAATCCCACGACACCACCTGCTTTGCAGATAACCCGGGGTCACCGGATTTGAACCTCCATGACCACAAGGAGATTTTTTTCCTCCTTGGATTTGAACCTCCATGACCACAAGGAGATTTTTATTCCTCCTTGGATTTGAACCTGAGACCTCCAGCTACTTTTGACTTTTGGAGCCAAGCTTAAACAAATCAGGCACCACCAATGTGGTTAAGTTTGAAAATATTGATTCCAAAGTCCATGAATCCCCAAATTTTGTTCTCCTTTGTTCCAATAAAAATCTACATCTTGATTTCTGATGTCAAACCTAGTCCAGATGCCAATATTGTTGATAACTGATTCAAATTTAACCACCAAAACTATGCCATTTCTACTGTTCCTTACAAGTTTTACCGACTTACCAACTTTTTCCTCAAATGCTTAAAAATCCACATATATTTTGAATCTGTAACGAAAATTGTAGCTCTTCTTGCTAGAGGAGATCATAATTAGCATCGAACGCTGTTTTCCAATGGTAGAACTATAGATTACAACATTGAATTTTTTCACAAAACTAACATGAAATAAGATTTTATCAACAGGAAACGACGTGAGAATACTATAAATTGATTAGAAGGGAGAGGGATACCAATCCTGTGAAGTCGGAATCAGTAAAATCGAACGCAAATCGACCGGTGCAAGGGATCGTTCTTGGACTTGTTGCCCTAGGCAACGAATCTGTAAGCTCCGTTGGTGCGAGCACCAATGCTAGGGTTTGAAATGAACAAGGCGATACCGCCATTGTTGAGAATCCGACCCGAAAAGGGGACTTCTTGTTGGAGCCTTGGAGGACTATAACGAAAGCTTTGGGGCCTCGGAAGTCGGATGACGAGGGTAAGGTGTAACTATTCGAAAATGGAAAAAAAAAATTTAAATTTGATTATTGGATATCGTATTTTTATAACTTTTATTTTTATAGTTAAACTGAGTTTAAGACATTTAAGTATTTAAATAATCAATTGAAGTATTAATTAGTTATTATGTTGATATGGTGAGTGATGTGGTATCTGGATAATGCTTTAGCAAATAATACCAAGTTGGATACTACATCAACATGGTAATCGGTTAATGCTTTAACCGGTTACTCGGGCATTTAAATGTTTAAAATTTTACATCTTAGGTACTAAAATTTAAGTTTTGAAAATACGTTATTCAAAATAGGAATCAAATTAAAGTACATTATTTTTTATGCAATTTACCTAAAAAATAATATCATAATTTTTTTAGCCTCGAGCTCGATTAACTTTTTTAGAGTTGGATATTCTTCATTCTCTCTTATTTTTATCTCTATTTTAAAAGAGAATCTAACAAAGTTGTTGATTTTATGTTCCAAATGTTAAAAGTGTCTGGAGGAATAAAAATCTCATTATGGCCACGGAGGTTCAAATGCGGCGACTTCAACTTACCCGCAAAAACGGGTGGTCGTCATGAAATTAATTGGCTCGCATAGCAGGTTGGATATCCAGATTAATTAAAAAAATAAACTTTCTTAAAATCTTAAGAAAAAAATAGTATTGCGGTTGAAATTGCAACATAACTTTGATTTGAAGTATAATTTGTTTAACAATCAAAACTATTTTTTAAGTTGGGCAAATTGAATGAAAAAGTAACGTACTTTAACTTGATTCTTATTTTAGATAACGTACTTTCAAACTTTCATTTTGGTACCCAAGATGTAAAATTTTAAACATTTAAGTACTTATATAACCGGTTGTAATATTGAATTTTAAGTAATATGCATCAATAAACAATACTTCATACATAAAAAATGGTTTTTAAGAGTTTCTGTCAAATGCTTTGTGTTATAATACATATATGAAGGCTTTGTTCTCATTTTTCTCACCATAACTTTCATTCGCATCAGAATATAACCCTGTATATAAATGAGTCACAATTATTAGAATACAAAATATCAAAAAGTAAAGATTTAAATATTATGTGAAGATATTTGAAATCAAAATATAGAATCTCAACTTTATTGAATTTAAGGATATTTTTGCAAGTGTATTGGGTGCGTCATTGATGCATGAACAAGTTTTGGAAAATATCCAATTTCATCAAGTTGCAATATGCAAAATGGTGATTGCTTGAAAGCTTTAATCCCCATATATTTTTATAAAAATCAGTAAAATATTAAATACTGTTATTTTAATCAGTTGGTTTAAAGTCGTTTAAATACCAACTCAATTGTGTCAGTTTAAAGAATCGTAACTCGTTCAGACCATTTTTAATATATAATAAACCGAACTCATTGCTCCAGCCTTCAGGTTCGGTTGTCACGGTATGCCCCTAATAATTATTGTTATGAATAAAATGTATAAAGGTACAACTTTTTTTTGGGTATCAACATATTTGAATTATATTTTTAAATAAATTTAATGTAAGAATAAAGTATATTTTTGGTCCTTGTGTTTTTTGATTTTGTTAGTTTTGATCCCTAAAGTTCATTTAATGTAATGTTTTTTTGATTAACTTGGATATCCAACCCGCTATGCGAACCGACTAATCTTAGGGCGACCACCTGTTTTGCGGGTAGCCTGGAGTCACTAAATTTGAACCTCTGTGGCCAGAAGATGATTTTTATTTCTTCTTTGATTTGAATCAGGGATCTCCAGACACTCTTGACCTTTTGAGTCCAAACTTAAATTAATCAGACACCATCTTTGTGGTTATTTAATATAATGTTGTTGTCATAATTTTTAGTTTTACTTGGTTTTCGCCCATATTGCAAATGATGGTTAAAAACCAATCGAGGGGTAATTTAACCGTTTGTTTGAAGAATTTGAAGAATTCTCCAAAAAATGAGGATTACTTAAGAAAAAGGATTATTTTGTATTCTTCTTACCAATGATAAATTTTGAAATTACTCCGATTCTCGTCAAACAAGTGCTGAACGACCCTTGGAAAGGGGGCGGAACAGGTAGGTGCCCCACCCCGCCTAGAACAGTTATGTTTAACTGGGCTTACACACATTCGCTCACCGACCAGTTTCCCAAGACGTTGGAAATCTAGACTCGCTCAGAGCATTGATGTCATTTAGCCCTTGTGGTCGAAGGACCATAACACTTTCCCTCAATGGATGATGAGGTTGTTTAGAAGAAATAAATAATATTTTTATTAATTATATTGAATATTTTAATAATATAATTAATATTGTAATCTTCAAAACGAAAAAACCGTTGAAGATGAACATAATTCTTTTTTGAAAAATTTGATTTATGATTCTCTATTTTAGAGAATCTGTTGGAGATGTTTTTAACATATGTTAATTTATTATAAATTATGTTAACCGATGTTAATATCTTCATGTTATTTAACAGAATTTTTAACATCCGTTAGTAAGACATACCAAAACCAAACAAAGTAAAAAACAACGGTAACAAATTACAAATCTGTAATAAATAAACTTTAGGGACTAAAATAAAACATTCGAAAAAGTACAGGGACCAAAAAATGAAATCTAGTTTTAGAAAAAAAAATCAATATCTTAAAGAATTCCGGTTGGAGGCAGGGAGTTGTACACCTTTCCCCTGTTTTAATATCTGATCACCAACCGTAAAAGCCAGCTAAGCAAACTCCACACGATTGGTCCACGTAATTAACTGCCACGTGTCAGCAGGGGAAAAAAATATCATTTTTATTTAAAAAAAATTTAAATAAAATAACTAACTCATGGGAACACGAATCCGTAGATATTTATATTCAAACACTTGCTTGTCTCCTTCTTTCCTGCTTATTTAGTTCTTAAACCCTCTCAAAATCTCTGTGTAGATCTCAAATTTCAAAGAGATAGAGGATAAGATTTGAAGTTTTCTCTAGAGGAATTTGATGTTTTGAAGGATGAAGATCCAATGTAACGTATGTGAGGTGGCGGAGGCGACGGTGCTTTGTTGCGCCGACGAGGCGGCGTTGTGTTGGGCTTGCGACGAGAAGGTACATGCTGCAAACAAGCTCGCCAGTAAGCATCAGAGAGTTCCTCTTTCTAATTCCAATAATCAGATGCCTAAGTGTGATATATGTCAGGTAATTGCAAATACTGTCTGTTTACGTGTGAATTATCGATGTGTTTTTCTTTCGGTTTGGGATTTTGATTATTGTTTGAATTTTTGTGTGTATTAGGTTCGTGTTTCTATGATTGATTGTGATATGAGCTGTTTATGTAAGTTATGGATAACGTATAATAATATATCATATACATCTCTACGAAAGAAAGCATTCGATTACAATAACAAGGAATCCCTGTCGAAATCAGGTTTTGGGGCCAAGAAGACGAACCTTTTAGTAGGTGACGGAATATGAATTCGTTTTTCTTTGCTTTTTGTGAATTCACATGATTAATACAGTCTCCTTCATGATAAGTTTACTTATTTGACTTTTGAGTATCAAAACAACTTATGGAGGTGAGAATTGAACAATTCCATTATTTGGTAGTGATAGGCAATTCCATTATTTGGAGGTGAGAATTGAGCAATTCCACAATTCTCATTAGTTGGTAGTGATAGGCAATTCCATTATTTGGAGGTGAGAATTGAGCAATTCCACTATTTGGTAGTGATAGGCAATTCGCAATTCCATTATTTGGAGGTGAGAGTTGAGCAATTCCATTATTTTGGCGACGTTAAAGAAAGAAAGGTGGAGAAAGAGATGTTGCTATCAAAATGAATGTTCTGTAAAGAAATTATAGCCTATAGGCAAGGGAAGTGAGAATCATTACTGAAGCGTCCCGATTCTTTTGCTTTCGGAAGTGTCTGGACTCCCCTATCCTTTCTTTTCAGAATGAACACAAAAATATAAAAACTGATTAATTTGCATATTGGAACATAGAGAACGATAGAAACTTGTCTCAAATTGATTGCTGATGGTCTGACCAAATTCCAAAGGAGGGTTATGTAGAAGCATAAAAGATTTTTCATAAATGCATGACTTTTTGACAGATTTTGAGGCATTCTTATGTTAGGAAGAGACATTCTTTCTTAGGCATAGACGTTCTAAAATCTGTTGGAAGACCGTGCATTTAAAAAAAAATATGTCAGAAAGTTATAGAAAGGTGATTTTTGTTGCTAAGCGATGTCAGTTGCAGCAGATGGTGTGGATCTTCTTTCCTTGCAAAAATTTCAGGATTTGATTCTTTTGTATGTGGAGGATCAATTATCCATTGTTATTGAAAAGCAAGGACGAATAAACTTACCTCCAATCTCTTCTGCAGTCACTTTTTTTTTATTAACTTGGATATACAACCCGCTATGCGAGCCGACTAATCGTGACCACCCGCTTCGCAGATAGCCCGAAGTCACCGCATTTGAACCTCCATGACCATAAGGAGATTTTTATTCCTCATTGGCTTCAAACCTGGGACCTCCAGGCACTTTTGACCTTTGGAGCCCATGCTCAAACCAATTGTACACCACTTTTTACTGTTCTGATTAAGAGAATATTGCCCAACTTAGCTCATGTACTTGCAGAAACTTCAAATTTTGAGTCTTGTCATATGCTTAGAATCTAGGCCCCTTTCTCCATTGTTATCAAAAAGTAAATGAAGGAAATATGCCTCCTCTTAGTCCTGATACATCTCCCATACTTATATTTTCTGGTCAAGTTTAATTGTGACTTTAGACAGCATTATTGGTCTCTGTTCATATTGACACGGTACTTTTGCTAAATCTTGAAAAGGACTATCAATGCGTAATTGTTCAAAAATTGAATATGTTCTGACTGTTTCTTTGTGTAAAATTCAGAGTACAATTTTTGACAACCCGTCCCACATGGAAAAAAGTTAGATTTGTGAACTCAAAGTTATGGGCTATCTATAACTTCCACCATGGATTTGAGTTGATTTGTAAGTTATTGGACCAGCCTGTCCGTTTAGCATAACAGGTGTTACAAGTACACCTTTTGTTCTTTTTCCCTGCCATGTCTAGTCGTTAGTGATGTCAACATCTCGTGGTATTGTGAAGTGCGGATTTCTCTTTCATTGTTGCATGATGTATTAATCTCTGAACAGTGTCTAAAAGATCACTTATCATACAGGAAACAGACGGCTACTTCTTTTGTCTGGAAGATCGGGCTTTACTCTGCCGAAAATGCGATGTTGCCATTCATTCACTCAATGATCTCGTTTCATCGCACCAACGATTTTTGCTTACGGGTGTGAAAATAGGGGTCGAAACTGGTGATCTTATTGCATCATCCGTGAAGTCAAGCGCCTGTGAAAAGATCCCGGAAACCGCAGAATCACTTTGTCTGCCGACTAGTGCTCCAGAATCTGCAAACAGTCCATACAACGAAGTTCTGCCTACCCAAGCTGCTGGATCGGGTGATTGTGGGTCTCCTAAGTTGCCTTTTGGTGGAGGTTCTTCGATCCAACAATGGCAGTTTGATGAGTTTTTCGGATTGAATGATTTCAATCAGAATTATAATCATGTCGATTATGGTTCATCAAGGGTAAGATGAACTCTATGTGTATCTATCATAGCACACTACAACAAAATGGGCTTTATAGGACACCAAATACGTCTAAATGCCTAATAGAATGCTTTATAGGACTTAATTGTCTATCCTATCCTATGTAAAGGTGTTACAATAGGATTTTAGAATGTATTTGGGCATCCTGTCAAGTTTTTTAGGACACAATTGAAATAAAATGTCGTATTAACTTTTGAGAAATGTTCAATGAAAACATATTTCTATCAGACATTTGTTTTTATAAGACACTTTTTCAAATAATGTCATATAAAAAAACTAATATGACGTTTTATTTCAAGTGTTCTAAAAACTTGTTAGTACACCCTAAAAGCGTTATATCAACTTACTATAACATCTTTACATATGACTCATTACTATAAATTTAAGTCCAATAAAGCAACTACACTAATATTTAGACATATTTGACGTCTTATAATATGTATTTTCTTGTAGTGGCAGTCATTCCTGGTGACAAGTACTAACTTTTGATGCAACTAAAACTATTAGGGGGATAGTAACAAGCTGGGAGACTCGGATTGTTCGTCCTCAATTCTACGAGCATTGGAGGTCGAATTGGATGACGAGGATTGCTTGAGTTGGGTTCCGGATTCATCGTGGGCGGTCCCACAGATATGTTCACCTCCCACTGCTTCAGGACTCTGCTGGTCAAAACAACATCATCGTCATCAAATCAACTCTTCTGCTGCTTTTGTTCCTGATGTAAGCTATCATTCTCAACAAACTCTAAAAAGGAAGAGGCACTTCTAATGGGTGTCCTTCAGGATGTTATCATACCAGTATTAATGCACAGATCCCATCAAAACTCTGCAGTTAAAGAAGGCTAACCAAGGTCACTAGACAGTGTGTGTTCATAGGGTTTAGTCTCTATGGAGTAGTATTCATCTCCATAAGGTTCTTCAGATGTATGCATCTTACCCCATGTTTCTCCATCAATAATTGTTAAAATGGCTTGTTTCTTAAAAGGCTGATTTTGTTCCTTAAGTCGTGTTTAAGTTCAGGTTTCGTAACTTTAATTGCAATGGATCAGTTAACTGATTTTGCACCAGTAAGAACTGAGGACCATGTCCAAAGAAGATCGGTTAAAAAAAGGGTCTAGCCTAAGACCTTTTAGGGTGCGTTTGGTACGCTGGACAGGGTGGGACAGGACAGGACATAACACATTTGTCCTGTGTTTGGTGTGGCCCAATGTGGAACTAAGTGGAACTAACTTGGATAAACCTTGGACACGCGTGTTCCATCCTACCCCCTGGAACTAAGTGGAACACAACCCTATTTCCCTCTTTACCCTTCTGCCACCCGGCTACAATGTTGAAGAACGACCTAACCCTTTTCATCGCTCCATCGTCTCCATCGATTCCTCCTGTCGACGGCGAGTTTCAATCGACGGCCGGCGAGTTCCAATCGACGGCGACGTCGGCGAGTTCAATCGACGGCCTCCATCGCCTCCATCGCTTCTCTTCTCTCCATACCCAGGTACACAATCGATCTGTGTAGTGAACGATCTGTGAGTAGTGAACGACATCTCCTTTCGTTCTTGATTCTAGGGTTCTTGTTAATTTCTGTGGGTTTTGATGATGATTAATTTCTTGTTAATTTCTGTGGGTTTTGATTCTAGGGTTCTTGTTGTTATCAACTGTTTAGGGCATTTTAGCTCACTCTTATTTTACTTGACCAACAGCTTAGCCCTGTTAATTTCATTTGCCTTTGACCAACAGCTTTCAATGCAAAATTTGATTTATGCTACTTGATTGATTTATGCTACTTGATTCATTTGCAAATTTGATCGATCCTAGGACCATGTCACAGTCTTCCAAAATTGATTTATGCTACTTGATTCATTTGCAAATTTGATCGATCCTAGGACCATGTCACAGTCTTCCAAAATTCAGCAACATGTTTGCTGTGTGGACCTTGTAGATATAAATCTTGTTGGAGCAAATGATGCATAACCCATGTTGTACATCCTTCTGTCTCCTAAGTTCAAGTCAGATTGAGTACTGAATATCTGCTTACAGTACTGAATTTTGAGTACTGAACATGAACAAACAGAAAGAATAATCAGAAAAAGGGGAGTGTGTGCTCAAATATCTTGTTTTAATCTCAAGCTCTCATAGTCAGAATTTTGATTTTCAATTATCTTTGATGGCAATGGCATATGGTGGTTTACTGGGGGTAAATTGGTCATTTTAACCTGTCTTGTCCTGTCCTGTTATGTCTTACCAAACGCTGAACAGCTGTCCTGTCCTGTCCTGTCCGCGCACCAAACGCACCCTTATAGATGAAAACTCGTTTTGGTCCTAATTTTGAACCTTGGATTGGGACTGTGACTTAACCGTCTAGAAAAAGCCTGAATGAAGCGAGCAAATAGGTTCAGCTATAAGCCTGCAAAAAAGGGTCTAAGACGTGTTGATTTTATCCTAATTAATTATTATGATTAAAAAGTTGGAAAATATCACAACAAAAATACATGGTCAATGATAGTTAAACTAATGGAAGAAAATTTTAAAAAATATTTTGAAGATATGTTTGTGTTTTTTTTATGTGACTCGTATTTAAACTAAAATGCAACATAAATGAAGTTGAAGATTTATTAGATCCAAGCACGATTCATTTTAATCACTTGAAACAAGGTTAAAAGTGATGAAAAATATTCCATATGAATAAAAAAATTCAAAATAAATATGTGAAAAAATAAGTTAATTTTTAATGTTATAATTGAACTATTTTTTTTATATTTTTGATTAATTATTTTTAAAAATTAAAAGAAAATTCGAGGTTTCTGTAAAATAATTGTCCATTTAATATCTTTTATATATTAATTTATTTTTTTAAAACTCAAAAGGACCGGTTTTGACCATCAGTCCAAATTTAGTCCTAATTCTTTTTTTGTCAATTATTAATTGAGGGCTGACACGGTCTTTTTTCCATTTAAATAGGATCACTCTTTTTTATGACCGGTTAAGACCCGACCTCTGTAAGCCTCCTATGTTGATATAGGTTTTCCTTTGTGGTCTTTGATCTACCAAGTAAATATCTCATTTGACTCGAAAGTAAGTATCGCATAGAAGGAATAACTTCTATTCCCAATATATGAAAAATGTACCATGCCTTCGGGGCCTAATTTAAGTCGATAGATTTTCTTTACGGAGCTTGCACACATTGTTTGGAAATATGACATGAAACCGCTAGAGAATGTGACATTGTTATCAGAACAAAATTGTAAAATGGAAATTATACTAAACGGGGATGGACCCACTTGATAACATATGGTGGTATGGACTACTGGTTCATGACTCTATTGTAAATTTGTAATGAAAAAAAAAAATATATATATATATATATATATATATATATCTGAAGGTGCTATCGTTCGTTTCGTTGAGTGCCCTTTATATTCCTTCAAGCTACAACAATGACACAATTTTTTTTGGGTATAGTTGGTTTGTTTATCCTTTTCTTTCTTCTAAACCTGGGTTTGAATCCTGTATGTCTTGAAAATTTTCTTAAATTCGTCTAAACCATTTGGAAGATGTTGGCACGACAAAATCGGCATTGTGGTTTGGGAAAGTGGGATCATATTGTATGATGTTCTTCTAAAAAACAGGTATTTTAGGAGGGAAATTTCTTTAGTGTGATACCACTGACACTCTTAAAAGAAGGGTTTCAATGGATCAACTCGGTTTTTATTGGATTCTAAACTTTCATCCAACAGTTAGTTAATACAGTATGAATATTGTTATCTTGGATCAGTTTTGATCTAACTTTGATCGTCAGTAATAATTACAATAACTGATTTTACTTTAATCAGATGATTTTTTGCATATTTAAATTATAGCGATCATGAGCTTATAAAAATATTATTTTATAAAGTTAGAGGTTTAAAGTCAACGGACAATTCGGGTACAAGTGATGCTAGACAAATAGGGGAGAATGGACCAATTCGATAAATTATTTTCATTTAAGGGGCTGTTGAGTACTAAAACTAAGTGGAGGGACCAAACAAGTTATTTATATAAACTACTCTCATGCCATTTTTTCCACTACTTCTCCATCCCCGCCGGAGCTATTCCCGCGAAACCTCGTTTTGTTCTCAGATCCGACTCAGAGGTTCTCGTTCGGTTGCAGAGAATGCAGGCTTTATCACTTTCATCTGACCATGGAAGTTCTCTTTGCAAAACCAAAGGGGGTTTATGTTCACAATCGCAAATACTCCCTTTCAAACCCGATTCATCACGACGTCTCAACTACAACTACACTTTCACCTCGTCCACTTCACTCTCTGCAAAGTCCACTGCAACTCAAGAAACGAATCTAATATTTCCACTGAGCACTCTAAAATGGCGCCGCAGAAGCAAGACTGGACATTTTCTGCCTCCACTTCTCTGTGGCAATACGTCGAACACTTTGAGTGCTAATGATGGTAGTGGTAATATCAGTGGTAGGAGTTTTAGGGGTTGGGTGGAGGTGGTTGGGGAGGTAATATCCACGGCGTTTCCGATTTGGGTGGCATTAGGTTGCTTTTTGGGTCTTGTGAGACCGAATTCGTTCAATTGGGTTCAACCCAGATGGACCATGATGGGTATTACCTTGACTATGCTTGGCATGGGGATGACTCTCACATTTGATGATCTTAAAGGGGCTTTAGCTATGCCTAAAGAGTTGTTGGCTGGCTTCTTTCTTCAGTATTCGGTTAGTTCTGGCCAACCTTATGCTAGTTTGATTTATCATGCATTTTGTTAATTCTAGCAGCATTGCAAACAATCTAATTTTGCTAATTCAAGATCAAATGGACTCACCCATTTGGAGAGGGGTCTACCAGAAATCACTGCGATTACAGAGGAGACTAGTCTAAATATACAAATTTTAACTGTTATTAGGTTCCTCTGATACCAAATGTTAGGTTGATGCAGATGAGAGATGAGTAAATGACACAATTTTGCTTTAAAGGCCAATGAAAAGCTTCCATCTTCGTCATGTACGACCAATATATGAACCTGTGGTTGAAACGAATATGGTTTCTTGCCAACCAAATGGTCCGAAGGGCACATGGACCCATTGGATGGCAAAAAGCGCCAGCAATATGTTTCAACTCTCAAACAAATCAAGTAGAAACTGCTCCAAAGATGCTGGAACAAACCTTATCCTATTCCACCAAGCGAATCATTTTGACCAACTTATTGAGTGGAGGAACAAATGTAAAGAGATTCAACATGAATGTTACACCATCCACATGAAGCTTGACTAACAGGAATAACTTGCCTATGCGGCTATGCAATAACCGTTGTCTAGTTGGAAGCTTGCTTAGTGGTTGTTTGGTTGGTTTTCCATTAAATCTTGCATGGATAAAGTTGTTTGTGTGGATTAATATGTCTGTATAGATTAGAAAGGTTTTTGTTTGGGAAGTCTTTTTCATAGATGAAAGGGGCGTGCTCTTTAATTGGGGGGGGGGGGGGGTTTGGAAAAACTTGGCTTTTTGCATAAAGCTTCCCCCTAATAAGCTTACTGAATAATTCACTTTCTATATCATTAAGACACTATGAAACGGTCATGTATAGCTGACCAAATAAGTTGTGAGTCTTATTAAGCTCATTAAGTTGTTAACAATCAAGCCCTTAGTGTTGCAAGCCACAAGACACTTTGCACTTTTGTTGGAATCTAGTTAGCCCATATTAGTCTTGACCATTTATGCCTTGGGGATCCTCCCCATAGGTCTCTAGTTCGAGTCTCCTTAGGCCACTGGGAATTTTTCTGACTGTTATCTTCAGGGTCTCATGGGATTAGTCGAGGTGTGCACAAGATGGCCCAGACACCCACAGTTACCCCAAAAAAATGGACATTGTTGCACCAGAAGCACGTCTCAACCAATCTTCAATAGATGCTGTGGAGTTAAAGTCACCCATAAGGCACATGTGGCTCACTCCTATTTCTACTTCTACAAGTACCCTACATATTCAAAGAATGCTGCTTTTCTACTATAGACAAACATAATGAGTTTAGGTGCTACATGTTATTTTTATAAATGTGTAACTATATATTTGCTTTTTTATCTGGATAAAATGTAAATTGATTAAGTATGAGAGATTTGCTACATGATGTTAACCTTGGCATAACATTTTTGAAATATGTGATCTTAGAAATTGATAGCAGACTTAGGGGCCGTTTGGTTGGTTTTCCATTAATTCCTGTGTAGATAAAGTTGTCTGTGTAGATTAATGTGTCTGTATAGATTGGGGAAGTTTTTGTTTGGGAGAGTTTTTTCATTGATAGAAAGAGCGTGTTTTTTAATTGGGAGAGACAGGTTTGAAAAAAAATTGGCATTCTGCATGAAGGTTCCTGCTAGAAGCTTACTGAATAAACTACTTTCTACATCATTAAGCCACTACCAAACAGTTACATATAGCTGACTGGATAAGCTATGAGTCCCATTAAGCTCATTAAGCTGCTAACAAACGGGCCCTCTCTAAAGAAACGACCAATATTTGATTAGGCTGCTTACTGTTTACTGTGAGTATATTCAATTGACCATTTCACGATGCAGTTCTGTTCGTGCATTTTCTAATATAGAGTTATAGCTCACCAAAAGCTATAAAATTTCAATTTTTCATGTTAATCTTCTTGTTATTCAAGGATGTGTACAATCAAACTTCAAAAATGGTTGTAACTTATTCTTGCCTAACTCTGTTGGTATTATTTTCTTAATTATGCCAGAGTACTTAAAAATGGTGTTCTTGTTGCAGGTAATGCCGTTAACAGCATTTTTTGTCAGTAAACTTCTAAATTTGCCCTCATATTATGCTGCTGGTTTGATATTGGTTGGCTGCTGCCCGGGGGGTGTGTACCCTCTTTTAGCTTCCTTTTCTTTTAGTGTTTATATATACTTTGGAAAGTGTACTCTCTTAATCGCCGGGATTCAGATCACGAAATTTTCCATGTTTAATTTTAGGAACCGCAAGTAACATTGTGACTTACATTGCTCGGTATGTAGCTTTTTATAAGTGATATAACTGTAAAACCATATCCTCCTATTACTTCCCAGCACTAACTCATGTTTTTGGTACTTTTCCAGGGGAAATGTGGCCCTATCAGTATTAATGACTGCCGCTAGCACCGTGTCTGCCGTGGTTGGTACATAATTCATTGTGGTCTTAGTATATATGCATGGAAATATATCATTGTTTTATGTTTTACCTAAACTTGCACAAACTGTCATCTCGTTGCATAAAGAGTGTTGCCTTTATAGGGATGGAATGAGCCAGGGATGGGGGATCGAATCCCCTCCCATTTGGAATACAGGTTCATCCTCGGCCAGCCCATCCACGACATAAACATGTTTAATTAAGTATGTTGTTGCAAAAGAAACTCGAGTAAGCTAATAAGCTATTGTTAATGTGCGATATTCTAATTCAGAAATTTCGAATGGACAACTAACATGTCTTAATTAAGTATACAAGTAGTTGAGCATGTTTCAGATCATGAATTCTCTAATTGAGATCTCCTTTCTAAAAGGATGGAATAATTGTAGACGCTAATTCAATCTTGAACACGTTTAGGCAAGTCAAACCACCATCCCTGTTGTCTTATTTGAGTGGATTTGGTTAAGTTTGCATATATGATTAAGAACTTCTGTATTCTAGCTTGAGAGAACATAGTCAACTGAAATAGGAAATTTTCAAATTAACAGTTGATTTTTCTCTATATTGCTTAGAGCCTAATTCCTTATTGAGATTTCTAATATCAGGTTATGACTCCATTCCTCACCTCCAACTTAGCTGGGCAATATGTTGCAGTTGATGCAATTGGACTCCTCAAGTCCACACTGCAGGTGACTCTCCTTTTAAAATTTTATTAGTCCCTCCTTCCTTGCTATGAAAATAACAACATTTGACTTAAGACATAAGCATGGTTTTAAAAATCGTTTTGAGGCCTACGACTCGATGTGAGGCGGCCCAAAACCGCACCTGACGTGGCGTCTCTTGGACCCTGGCGAGGCGTACGCCTTGGTTCAGGGAGGCGTGAGGCGGTGTCGAGGCGTATGCCTCAGATGAGCTGCTTTGGTAATGGTTTTTTGGACTTCCTTTATAAGCTCTATGGTAGTAGTAGCACTTCTCTTTATAGTATAAGAGTCCTTTTTTATTTTAAAAAATTAAGTCAAAGCTCAACGGCCCCGATGTGTACTTTTAATATTTTAAAACCCAAAAAGTTAGTACCTTCTCCTCTCAATCAAGAAAGTGTGGTTTAATTCTTCCTCTTCTTCCGAGAAACCAATTTTTCCACACCCTCCCAGCCTATCTCATGGTTTCACTCTTTCCTCTGTCAAGAACCGCCGAACCAGCGCCTCTTAGTAATTTAGTATTATATAGTACATATTTTGGGGTATATATATTTCCGCCTCGAGGCTTACCAGGGACGGACCCAATTATTTTTTCATATGGTGGCACCATATAAAACGGTTGCACCTTCTAAAACAATATGGTTGCGCCTTTCGATAACCTATTTTTTTAGCTTACGACGGAAGGACAATACGGTGGCACGTGCCACCACCAGTCCACCACCACCACCACCACCTAGGTCCGTCCTTGAGGCTTACGCCTCACCTCATTGAGGGAAAACGCCTTGAGGCCCGATTCCGCCTTTTAAAACTTTGTACATAAGTGTCCACTTTCAAAAGCATTTGGCTACTTCGCAATTATACCCTTATGTCTTTTCCATTGTGGACATTTATTTTGTGACGGAGAGAGTATAAGGTGTTGTTTGTGTTTTGAAACAAACCTCTTATTTATCACTTATGTCTTACTGGATAAGAGGTTAGGCTAATCATACTCGTTGTTTTTTCTCCAAATGATAAGAGCTTAAAACCTCTTACTATTAACCACAAGGGTGGTGCCTGATTGGTTTGAGCTTGGCTCCAAAAGTCAAAAGTGTCTGGAGGTCCCAGGTTCAAATCCAAGGAGGTATAAAAATCCCCTCGTGGCCATGGAGGTTCAAATGTGTTGACTCCGGGCTACCTGCAAAGCAGGTGGTTGCCCTAGGATTAATCGGCTTCCATAGCGGGTTGGATATCAGGTTAATAAGAAAGAACCTCTTACTATCCTCTTATTTGACAAGAGGTAAGCTCATGTCTTATTAGCATCTTAATGCAATCTTATTTCTTAAAATCTCTTCGTAGCCATGTTATTCATTTTGCAATGTATATAGACATTATAATAAGGTCCTGGTTTTCAATGAACTTTTGATTTTATATGCTAATTAATTTGTTAATAAATTATATATTTATTAATAAATTAAAAATGAAATCTAAATTATATATTATTTAAATCAACAACAATATTTTGACTATCAAGTACTATCTTATTTATCATGTTATAAGTTTTGTTTTATAAATTTTCATAATAATTATGAATAAACAAGTGAAATTGTTGGAAATATGTTGAAATAGATAGGTAATGTTATCTTCTATATTTATGAGTAAAAATATAATTAATATTATGAGGGGTAAAATAGACAATTATAAACTCTTATTGATTATGCTTTCAGACTTCAACACCACTTGTTATTTCTAAAAGTGTGTGCCTTTATAACTGAATCGTGTTTTGCTCATCATATCGTGTGAAATTTGCAAAAGGTCGTGTTGCTTCCGGTGTTGGTGGGTGCATTTCTAAACCAGTACTTTAAAGGATTTGTGAAATTAGTATCACCATTGATGCCACCAGTTGCTGTAGCAACAGTTGCTATACTTTGTGGGAATGCAATTGCTCAAAGCTCTTCTGCAATTCTCATGTCTGGTCAACAAGTGGTTCTTGCTGCACTTCTACTTCATATATCTGGATTCTTTTTCGGTTACCTTCTTTCAAGAATTCTTGGGATCGATGTCTCTTCTTCAAGAACAATATCTATCGAGGTTGGCATGCAGGTACGCACAAATATCCATCACTTTGTTACTATTGCAATGTAGCTGATAAGCTAGCTGCTGATAAATTAGTCATGTTCAATAAACTAATAAGCTAGTTGTTACAGCTAGCTTATTAGCTTAAAGCCTTTATATAGTTATGTGTATAGTGGTAGGTTAAAATATGAAGGATAAATATCGTGCAAAGGTAAGAAGAGAAGGTTAAAGGAAAGTTTATATGTGAATCGTTGAAAAAATCCATTTGAAGATGCATGTGCCTTCATATGAATAATCAGTAACATCGGTTCACATATGCATTTTAAACAATTTTTTTTGGATTTTTGTATTGATTCACATATGCACCTTCTCTTAATCTTTCCTTCTTACTTTCTCATGATATTTCTTATTTGAACCGTTCAGTGTGTGTGCGTGTGTATATATATATATATATAGGGTTGGGTTCACGTGAGACCAAAGGTTTTTTTGTGAGACCCGTAAGACCAATTTATGTTCATTGATCAACTTTATAAGCTAATGATCTAATGGTCTAAATTTGCACGGTGACAATTTTGTGATTATTGAGAAGTCTCGTGGCAATTTTGTAATTATGAATGTTCAGATTGTAGATCTAATCCAAGAGTTGAGAATTGGTCTTACGGGTCTCACGAAAAACCCTTGGTCTCACATGATCCCAAGTCTATATATGTAACTAAACTCTTCCCTACTAAAATGTCCGGTAAACAAGTAATGTATGAGTTGATAAATGGATCATATTTTTGTTACCCGGACCCTTATGCAACGGGTCAAAATATAATGGGTAACGAGTTTACTCTTACTCATTGCCAGCCTTACTTGAAGTAGCGTTTCAACAATCCCCAAGGGATTTTCTAATTATACATTCTTATATTTTTCGAATTTATTTTTCAAACATGTTCCTTTTAGGTTTTTACTTTGTCATCCAGCTGGTTTTTACCAAATATGACTTGTTTGTAAGCTAACAACAAACTTATTAGCCAACATCTAATTTGAAAAACACGTGTTTAAAAGTCGAATGGAATGTTTTTCCAGCTTCAATGTCGATTAAAGTAACTTCTTTTAATGCATTTGAACCCGTGTTGTTTCAGAATTCGGTACTTGGTGTCGTTCTTGCTACACAACACTTTGGAAATCCTTTGACTGCAGTACCGTGTGCGGTTTCTAGCGTTTGTCACTCGATCCTTGGGAGCGCATTAGCAGGAATTTGGAGACAAATTTAACCCGAATTTCAGGAGCGGAATGCATGAATCTGAATCTTCGTTTGTATTTTCATCGCTCGTCGTGAGTCTTGTATTCTCGGGGATTTAGTTATGACCGATGGTTATAAACTTTTGTGGCATCGAGGCTAGCATTAGTTTGAACACAATCATCTTTAAACGATGCGTTGTTTTATTTGTATTTATTGTGTTTTAGGTTGCCAAAACCCCCCCGTTATGTTGTTTGAGTGTTGTCTGTCAAGGGTGTTCATCCAAACCGCTTACACCACCCAACACCACACGATTCAAAACTTTTGCGGTGTAGTTTATGGTCTGCATTTTTATCAAACCACATTTTACGGTGCCGTTTGTAATTTATTATTAAACAATGGTTCGTTCAAATTGCTTCACATATTGTTATATATTTTAGAGTAAATTACGATTCTCGTCCTTATATAACAATATGTGAAGCAGTTTAAAAGTATAAAGGACAAATAATAATGAATTTTAAACCACAAGGATGTAAATCGTAATTTTTAAAAACATAGAGTCAAAAATAGTAGATTTTAACAAACTACAAGGATGAAAACCATGATTTAATCTATATTTTATATATTTAGAGATAACAATTGAATCGTTAAAACGCGGATCTTGTTTGCCAAAAAAAGATATGTCTCTTAATGATTCTAAAATCCTCCAAATGATTTTGTATCATGGGGTCTCTCTTAACCATTCAGCGCCCTAATTTCATTATTGTATTTCATTTTGCACTATGTCATTTAAGTCTCTTAATCATTCTGACAATTTAATCATTCTATACCAAACCATTCAGCAACTATCAAAAAGTCTCTACATACATGTCTTTCTTCTTATGAAGGACAAAATAGTAATTTAGAAAATAACAATTCTCCTTACTATTGAGGGGTAATTTTGTATTTGTAAGGTACATCAAGGTATTCAAATAGACATTTCCTATTAATGGTACTAAAAGTGTTTATAAGCAAACTACATGGACTAGTTTTGTAACTAATTCAAACATATAAAAATATGATACAATTGTCGTCTTTGTCGACCATAAACTAACTTATTTTTTGAGTGTATTGAAAAAATATATGTTTGGATAAGGATAACCATAACCAGTTGTTAAACGAGCTTAATGAAACACTATAAGCTTTTTGTCACTTATTTCCAGTAACAACTGAAATTGTAATTTTTTAAAAGATCATCGTCTTTAATATCAGTGTTATTTGTATTAAAAATGTTAAAAACTAATTATTATACATCAAATAGCGTTGATCAATACATATCATTTAAAACTCAGGGTATCTGATGCATCGGTATGATTTTTTAGGGGTTGTTTGGGATTTCGTAGGATTGTATGAAATAAGGGTTTTAAAAAATGCTAACAACATTGTTTGTAATAATCGATTAATAAAAATGTAATTTAATTGTTTTATAATCATTTATAATTTTTTTTATAAATTATTTATAAATTAAAAAAAAATATAAATAATAGAATCCGAATCATACAAACCGAACATACTAATGATTTCAAATCCATTCCAATTGAAATCCCTTTATGAAATTCAAATACTTAAAAAACAATCATGCAAACCAAACAGACCCTTAGGTCCCGTTTTGGTTTGAAAGAGTGAAATGGATTTGAGGGGATTTTCATTTCAAATCAATTCCAATCCCATGTTTGATTTGTTGGATTGTCCAGATTTGAAATCCTATTATTTAATTAAAATCCTTCAAACACAGGATTTTGAAATCCTTAGGGTGTGCTCGGGATTTCACGAGATTTCGTAAGATTATATGCAATAAGGTTTTAGAAAATATTAAAAACACTTGTTTTATAATAATGAATTAATAAAAATATAATTCAATTATTTTTATAATTTTTTCTATAAATTATTTATAAATAACGAAATTCAATTCCGTCCCAATTCCTACAAACCAAAAACACCAATGATTTCAAATCCAAATCCCACCATTATAACTAAAATAAATTAAAATATTTATTTTAAATAAAAAAATCTAATTTAAAATAAATAAATTATACCAAAAATTATAATTTTATAATATTTAATTTAACACCCACATCAATATATATTTTTAATTTTTTTTATTAAATATTCAAATTAATACATATTTAATCATACCTTATAATTTTTATTTCTTCACATGTGAATTCTAATTTTTTTTTTAAAATTCATTAATTTTCTATTTTTCATTTCAATTTTTTTTTATATAAGAACTTGAAGAATACCTCCATTTGACTTGCACTTGACAAACAACATAATTTTGGGGGTTAAAAATTTCTCCCCATTTTCAAGAATCGGTGGACACCCTAACCAACCGTTAAAAGGAAACAGCGGTCAAGAACCAAATACACCCTCTTTACCTGTCGTCTTCTTCGTAAAGACGACACCAGAAACAAGAAGTAAGAAGAGAGAATTCTGGGTTTTGCTCAATTCTTTCTAGAAAAACAGAATTCTGGTTCTTTCTCGTAAGAATCTGTGAAAATGGGCAGTAATGCGGTTGAAGATGGTGGTTACTCTTCGCTAAATGACTTCAAATTGGAAATCGTCAATCAAGAGGGCGATGTTAATGGCAGTTTTTCTCTGTGTTTTTGGCTTTATTTACCAGCAGATTCATCCCCTTTTCCTTCCACCCTTCTTCGTCAGGTTTGTTTCTAGTAGTTCTGATTGCCGTTTCGTACAAATAATCCCATTTTCGTTGTGGGTTTTCGCGATTTTGATTGTCGACCAGATGGATGTTTGTTTTTTAATGTGAATTTTGATGTGTGTTTTTATCAAAAACCCTTTTGTTACTTGAAGGTTTTGCCTCTTTTTTGTTGTAATTGCTGACACTTGGTTTTGTTGTTGAAGATTGATGACTGATTCATGGTCTTAAGATTGAGATTTGATTCAGATTCATGGGTTAGTTTAATCTAATAGATTTTGGTAACCAAGAACACATTCAAGCAAGAAAAAAAGTTGATGGATTGTTGTTGAGAATGAACTTTGCATCTTGTAATGTGTAACTTAGGGGGTGTTTGGTTGGTTTTTCATTAGGTTCTGCATGGATAAAGTTGTATGTGTCGATTAAACTGTTTGAATGGATTGAGAAGGTTTTTGTTGGGGAGGGTTTTTTAACCGGGATGGGGAGGTTTGGAAAAAACTTGGCTTCCTACGTAAAGCTCACCCCTAGAAACTTACTGAATAAGCACTTCCTATATCATCAAGCCACTACCAAACAATCATTTATAGCTCATTGAATAGGTCATGAGTCTCGTGAAGCTCATTAAGCTGCTAACTAACAGGCCCTTACATGGTCTTGATGATGATTCTTTTAATGGTTTCAAATTCGTTTATTGAATATGCTTGTGGGCATTAACTGAATGCCTTTATTACAATTTGCAGCACCATTCTGATTCATCCAGCCATGCCCCATTTCTTGTTTTGACTGCAAATAAAGAAATGGTGGTTTACCCAATTCATTTTGTACCTCAAGAAGCACCGATACCCAGCGATGGAACGGAAATCCCAAGTGCAAAAACCAAGATTGAATTCGAATTCCCTCTAAATAAATGGGTTCACATTGGATGTGAGGTATATTTGTAAGAACTTTTTGGGAATTCTTATTAAAATATGTTATTTAACTTCTATTGATGGTCGAACCTTTGATGAACTTGATGATTTGAGTTCTTTGGTTGTTGTGTTTAAATCAGATGTCTACTGATATTATAAGACTTCACATTAATGGCGAAATTGTGGGAGAGACGTGTATAAGTTTGACGTTTGATAGTTCAAGAAAAGTTTCTTTAGTTGGACTTGGCGCTAACGAAGATGACTTAGTTGACGGTTTTGTCCACGGTGTTGAAATCTTTCCTATTACGTCATCTATTAAAGATTACTTTGTTAAGGTGTGTACTTGCCTTTTTCATTAGTTTTCACACTCATTATTGTCGGTTTTTGTATGCTATTGCTTACTTTTAGCCAACTTTTCAAAATTTTATTTTATTTGACTCTCTCTTGTTGTCCTACTTTTCATGAGCCGGGGGTCTTTGTAAGATCCCACATTGATTGGGGAGGGGAACTGAGGTTGCCTTATAAGGGACTGGATACCTCCTCTACTAGACGCTTTTTAAACCTGTGAGTCCAACTATGGACAAAGCGGACAATATCTAGTACGGTTAGCCTGAAATGTTACAGATGGTATCAGAGCCGGAACTAGACTGGTGTGCCAGCGAGGATGCTGGGCTCCCAAGGGGGGTTAGATTGTAAGATCCCACATCGATTAGGGAGGGAACTAAGGTTACCTTATAAGGGACTGGATACCTCCTCTACCGTATGCTTAAAACAGTAAGTCCAAGTATGGACAAAGCGGGCAATATCTGGTACGGTTAGCCTGGGATGTTACAGTCTTTATGGAAACAATCGCTTTGCTCTTTGGGGGTAGTTGGGTAGAGATCAGGTCTACATACATCTTACCCACCCCGGACCCCACCTCCTGGTGGGATATACTGAGTTCGTTTGGTTTACTTATTATTTTTTGTTTTCTGTTGTTAGGACCCTCCGGTTCAACTTCATGTTGATAGTTTGAGTGCCACTGATATCGAAGAAGACAATGATGGAGTGTGGAGCGTTGTTGGTGGAAAGGTAAAGTTTTTGTAGATTCATATGCTTCTTAAGATCACATATTTGATTTCGGACTTCGTTATAAATAGTTGCGTTTAAATTGCATATATTCTTCTTTTCTAGAAAGAAAAGTCCGTTTCACTTACCTTTTATCGTTCTCAAGCCTTTATATTTCAAGGCAGCCCACACGACTCATCCAAATCTAATGAATTTTATCGTTCTCGGGCTTTTTTTTTCATTTTATTGTCATCATTTGTCTCACTCGTTTTATCTGAAAATGCAGGCATCGTGTCGTAGGAATTTCTCTTTGGATGTTAATTTAATGGATGCCTTTGGGCACTCGGTGAACAAAGAAATGGAGGTTCTCAAATCAAACCGACACTTTTCTTGCACAATTAGCGTTCTCCTAAAAAGAGATAAAAAATAGTATCTTTTTTGTTGGCAGGTTATTGCTTCACTTACGTATGCCGACAATGGTGCATATGTTGAGAAACCCGATGATGCAGAAGCTCCATTGCTAACAAGTTATGATGGAATCGAGTTTGCTTCTTGGGACAGACCAAGTAAACTAATCAACGGTCGTGCTTCATTTAAGCTTAAGATATCTCAGGTATCATTTGGGAAATCTTGCTTACTTTCCAATTTTACCCTTAATCGTGAGATAGAGAAATTCATTACTCACTCTCTTATTAAGGGTGAAATTGATATTTAGGTGATTAAAAAGTGTAATAATTACCCATTTTTAAAATTGTGTCTTTTTTCATTGTGGACATTTATTTTCGGAAGGAGGGAAATTAACCACCATTCTTGCGGAAAAAAGGAAGATGGCGCATTTTGCAAGAATGAGTTAATGAGCGATTTTGGAAGTTATTTAAATGCAAAATTTCTCGTCAACTTTGGCACTTTATATCCAACGATGTGCATTATGACACTCTTTTTTAGCAAGTTGCTAACGTGCTACTTATGAAATGCTGACATGGCAAGTAGCACTTTAGCAAGTTGCACAACTGACGCTTCGACGTCTGCATTTCGCAAGTAGCACTTTAGAAACTTTCGAAATTGCTATTTTATGAAATTTGCAAAATCTTAAATTTAAAATTATTTTACTCTTATTTCTGGTTTCTCTTTTTTTCAGCTTTCATCAAAGTGCGATAACAGGCTGTTTCGTATTAAATTTAACATTCCCAAGATGGGAAGAAGATATCCGTTTCTTGAAGTGTTTTCTCGTTCTATTCGGTGTATTTCACGTAATCGCAATACACGACCATCTACTTTGATATGGAAACGACCGACTTCTGCTATGCATTCGGGTAGTGGAACCTCTTGGCTTGACGGAGGGTCCGTTGAGCCTGTGCACAACATTGTTCATGAGGCAAAACCGAGCCCATCATCGAAACGGGTCAAGTTAGGACAAGGAAACCCGTTTGTGAATTTATCATCCAATACTTCATTCAAGCAAGGGGACCATGAAGGCAATAAGGTAACTCTGCACTCCTGGTACTTCCTAGTTTGCTCAAATGTTTGATAAAAAAGAAAACCGAAGGAAACACTACGATGAAATTAGTTTTCTAGACGTTCTACCGTCCTTGTGCGTCCTAACAAAGTACTTAGGGTGCGTTTGGTACACTGGATAGGATAGAACAAAGATATAAAGAACTTATTAGGGGTAAATTAGTCATCTTATATGTTCTGTTCCGTCTAGTTTTGTCTTGCCAAACGCTGAACAATATTGTTCTGTCCTGCTTGTTTGGATATCAAACGCACCTTTATTAGTCCTTAGCTTTTCGTTGGAAATTTAGGAGCTCGGTTTGGTAAACATGATGTAGATTTTGACTTCTTGTTTCACAGCAGGATGATAGATTGAACGGTAGGATTTCGGAAGGTAGACAAGAAATGCGTGATGGAACAACTCACAATTCGTCATCTGATTCCGATAGTAGTGAAGCCACAAACTCATGTAAGAGCCGTTCAAGTAACGGAAGTTCGGTTTCAGACCTGACCGTCTTCAAATATTGCCTCGGAACTGTAACGGAAAAGTCTCTTCTTCTAAAGGATCTTGCAAATTCAGCCTCTGAACAAGATCTTATGGAGTTTGCTGTGCAGGTTTCCCAGTTGTCTGGTTGTCTTCATCATCGGTAATTTGCAACTTATTCTTGAAAAAGAACTATACGTTTTAAGTTCGAGAATCAAAGATCCGATTGAAAAAAACACTACCCTTTTCGATATGGATTGAGATTATCTAATCGGTTCGGGGTTTCAGGAACCAAATAAGAATTTCGAAGAGGATGATAGAGGAGGGAACGAATGCTTGGAATTTGATATCACGTAACAATCACAATGGTTTGTGGGATAATATGATCCTGGTGATAAGCGAGCTGTTTATGAAGGTTGCACGCTGCCGAAACAGATTCTTGACACAACAGGTTTGTGTGTGATCTTATCATTACAACAAAATCGGCTTTATCGGATGCCAAATATCTCTTAAGGTTTTTGTTTGTTAGTAGCTTAATGAGCTTAATGGGACATAACTTATTCGGTTAGATACACATGAATGTTTGGTAGTGGCTTAATGATATAGAAAGTGGCTTATTGAGTAAGCTTCTAGGAGGGAGCTTTATGCAGGAAGCCAAGTTTTTTCCTTCCAAACTTGCCCTTTCCAGTTAAAAAACACGCTCCTTTCATCTATGAAAAACCCTCCCAAACAAAACCTTTTCAATCTGTAGAAACATATTAATCCATAGTTCCATACAGACAACTTTATCCATACAGGATTTAATGGAAAACCAATCAAACAACCGATAAATGTTCTAATAGACTGCTTTATAGGACCAAACAATTGTGTCTCTTACAATAAGTTGATAGGACACTTTTGGCACCCTAACAAGTTTTTAGGACAATTTGAAAATTTTGTTTAGCATAATTGTTTGGTCCTACAACCTTAAGTCCTATAAAGCAGTCTATCAAGACATTTAGACATATTTGGTGTTTGTTGTAGTGTTGACATGAATCTGATAGAATCATGAGCTGAGGTTTACTCATATTTTGCAGGATTTTGAGGTTTTAAGGAGAATTGGTGGTTGTCAGGAGTCGGTGAGTCGGGAAAACTTTGAGAAGTTATGGTGTTGGCTATACCCTGTGGCTTTCGGTTTGTCACAGAACGGGCTTAACGAAATGTGGGATTCCAGATGGATCGAAGGGCTGGTTACGAAAGAAGAAGCGGAATCTTCACTTCAAGGCCCTGGAGGCGGTCTTGTTGACCCTGGCACGTTCGTGCTCAGATTTCCTACATCGAGGAGTTGGCCTCACCCAGACGCTGGTAACCTTATCGTTACTTATGTTGGTAGCGATTTTGCCATACACCATAGGCTGCTGTCACTTGATTTCTTTTACAGGTGTGTAAAATAGACATATATATATATATATATATATACAAGCGAATGATTGTGTGAGAAGGGAAGTTATGCTGGCAAGCGTAAGAAAAGATCTGAACCTTTAATCTCTTTTAATCTCATGCCCACCCATGAATTGCGCTCTAGAAGAGAATTGATCTGGTGCACCTTATCAGTGTTGACATTCAATTAGGATTGATCTAAGGGTGGAGATCTCTTCTTACGCTTCTAACTATAACTTCCCTTCTCACCAGAACCCAACCTTAAATATACATGCATACCTACAATATAGAGTTGGGTTCTTGTGAGACCAACATGTTTTCGTGAGACCCGTAAGACCAGCTGTGAAGGCACAAAAACAACATTGAACCTTCACAGCAAAAACACTATGAAGGTTAAAAACATTCATAGTGTTTTTCTCTGAAGGTTCGGTGTTTTTTTTGTGTCTTCACACTGTTTTGTTATGACGGTTTAGTGTTATTTTGTGGTCCCAAGAAACAAGCTGGTCTCACATTATCGCAAGTCTCTCTCTCTATATATATATATATGATGGGGAAAGTTCAAATGAGAACTATAAATATTTTGAGAACCTGGGAGTATTATTCATAATGAATAACACTGTCTATTCATCATGAATATCATGTATTCATTATAAATAGTTTTCATCATGAATATCTTTCACGACATTCATCATGAATAGTTGGTTCTCGGGTTTTCAAAATATTTTTTTGTATGACTAGTATTTATTTGTTCTCTAGATGAAACCGTTGGTCTTGCATTTGTAGTTGTGGTGGCAACGGGAAATCACTGAAGGAGATGCTATTGGAGGAGCGGGAACTATCTCGATTAGGAAGGCAAGATGACGTTTTTTTGATTCTATCTTTTTCGACACTCGGGTTTTATATGGGAACTAATCGATAGGATTCTTGAAACTGCAGGATTACAAGAAGTTTGCGGCTCGTTTGAGATAGATTCGTTAATAGGAAAAAGGTCTTATAGTTTCTAACGTTGAAAGATGACGACACCCTCTTTTACCAATAGACATTACTACAAACCTTTTGTGCACTCTTTTTATGGTGGTTTGAAGGATATATAATCCAGTATATTTGTTTTGTTTTAGAGTAGAGTTAGAAGTGTTTATCTGGTCAGAGATGTTGCTGTGCGATCGAGATGTTGACATGGTAAGCTAAAGGAGAGACGTTAACTCGACCATTGATTAGTGTTAACGCAAACTACATTCTTAGCCCGTTAGTGTTTATCCAATTTTTGTTGGTAAATGACCCCTAAATTGCCTCTGGCGTGTAGTTCGGTTGGTAAAAAGAGCGGGTGGCTTTTTTCAAATATAGAACATGTCACAGGTTCCATCTCGTGCCCCTTGCTAGGCTCAACCGCTGAGTGAGCAAAAAAATGCCCCCTCACGTTGGTCTTCGGAGGTGGGTCCTATGTGGGGCTGATTGAGGTTGTCGGTAAAACTTTTTGCCCAAATGACCCCTAAATTATAGTTTTCTTTCTTGAATTATCTCTACAAATTTGGTTAAAAAGTTTGAATCTAATATATATAGACTTGGGATCATGCGAAACCAATGGTTTTTCGTGAGATCCGTAAAACCAATTCTCAACCCTTGGATTAGATTTACAATCGTTAGATCTGAACATTCATAAATGTCACGAGACTTCTCAATAATTACAAAATTACCACCTTACAAGTTTTAGAACATTAGATCTTTAGCTTATAAAGTTGATCAATGAACATAAATTGGTTTTACGGATCTCACGAAAAACCATTGGTTTCACGTGAACCCAACCCTCTCTCTCTCTCTCTCTATATATATATATATATATATATACAAGTTAAAATTACTCTTTTTAACTTATTTAAGAAATATCTTTAAATATTTCAAATAAGTGGTTCACATCGGATCTTACGGTCAGACTACATAATTCTCATTTGGTTAGACCTTTATACAGGGATCTATTCAAAAGAGATCTCAGTAATTTATGATATATCTATACTATCTTATAAAGCATTTGTCTAAAATTCTTTAAAAAAAAAACAATTATGGTCATCCCAATCCCTAATATCTCCAAAAGCAATTCGATTTTCCAACCCATTGAAATCCAAAACTCTATCCTAAAATCACGCAATGCAAAACCCCTAAACCCAATTAGCTTTTATCGCCATCCCTAATCTATTCCAACAGATTCTATCCGCCCAATGCAAAACCCCTAAACCCAATTCGCTTTTATCGCAATGCAGTGTTGCTTGTTGTCAATTACAAAATTCTTCATCTTCTACTTTCATTTATCCCTCATCAAGAAGCAATCCTCAAAACCCTAGCGGTTACGGTTCATTCAATTTGTTTTCTCAACAATGGTGATTCCATTTTATCAAAAACTGTTTTAATTTTTTCAAAAAATGGTGATTCCACTTTCTCTTAGTTTTGTTTGATTCTCTTTCTTTCTTCAACTGTATTTTTTAAGTTTCATTTATTGTCGTCTATCTTATGCTACTCACATGATTGGGGTTTATTTGATTTTATACTGGTCTCGCACATTTGTCTGATTCTGTATAATGATTAGGGCTCCTCTTCACAATTTCTAATATACAATCGCCTGCATATACAATCCCATTTGGTAACCTCTACAATCAAGTGCCCCATCTGGTAATCTCTATAATCACAACGAATTTCATGTGATTGTTGATTATGGCGATTTGTGTTTTACAAGACTTTCTGTTGTTGCAGCTTTTCAATTTAGTATTTTTTTGTTGTCATGGAGAATCGAGGGTCAACATTTCTCTCACCAGAAGGTGAAATTATTTCACAATTTCCTGGGGTTTTCTATGTGTATGCTACAAATTATATACAATTTTGGTCTTCTGATCTGCAGGACGGTTTCTGTTGGCTCAGATCTCTACTTCAACACAAACAATGCCATCAGGACTTTAAAAGTTTCAAGGCATCCTTATAGTGACACTCATCTTGGAATTATATCCTCTGATTCAGTTTTCAGGTAGAACATTCTCTACCGAGAATATCTAATACTTGAATTGCACTAAAATTTGCCAGACCAATTTGTGCATCATACAGAACTATTGATGCAGTTGTAGGAGGAAGCTATTGGTTTAGACCTTCCATCAAATACTTTGTGTATTCAATTGTAATTTGTCTGTATTATCTCATATTATGTAGGCTTTATGATTTGTCCTCGGCTCTTGAACAACCCGAGCAGGAATATTATTTACAGCCTGTTGAACGTGGTAGATTAAGGAATGCTTCATCAATATGCCCTGTTGACTTTTCTTTTGGC